TAAGTCGTTCAGTGAGTGTAATCCCTTCCAAACTATTTTAGAGCCATGAAATGTTTTGTCATAGCTAGCGTTGCCAACTGCCCTTTAATTCAGCGTATAGTCCAAAAATTAAGCTTATCTTATCTGCAACTTAATGAAGTTGCAAAGGACGCAGTTAGAATCTTTGGCATCGCTTATACTGTAAAATATTGAAGAAAATTACTTTATACGAATCAGCATCACATTGTTACAAGACTCACGACATGGCCAATTATTAAGGGCATAAAACGGCCTGTTAGAATTCAGTAAACTGTTATTCCCAACAAAAAAACATCAGTAGCCCCATTAGTAAAACATTTTTAAACTGCCAATTATGGTTATTGTTTTATATTTGTGATTTCAGCCTACATATACGAATGCTGTCAATCATGTTTTGTCGACGTAAGATTGAATCATCTCATTGGCATACACGACCAGTATAACCCATGGAAGTTGGTCGCAAGATAGTAAAGTTCGGTGTGGCGATGGGCAGTGGGTCGAGGATAGGAAAGTTGAGGGAGGTCGAGCAGTTGGTCGAGTATAAATAGGCAAGTAGATGGAGATAGGGCAGTGGGTCGAGGACAATTTTTTACGTGTCATTAACGGAGTGATTTTGGCCTGCAAACGACAAAAGTTTGCCGGGGAGATAGATCAGTGGGTCGAGGATAGGAAGGTTGAAGGAGCTAGGGCAGTGGGTCGAGAATAGGAACGTTGAGGAAGGTTGGGCAGTGGGTCCGAGGATAGGTAGGTTGAGGGAGATAGGACAGTTGAGAGCGGTGGTTCGAGGATGTGAAAGTTGAGGGAGGTCAGGCTGGGTCACGGAGATAGGGCAGTAATAAGTAATGCCGGCCTCTGGTTTAGACTTCAGAGCCAGTGAAGTTACTGCCCTTTCTCCCTCCACTTTCCTATTCTCGATCCTCTGCCCTGTCTCCCTCGACCAAAAGCTCCACCTTCCTATTCTCTACGCACCGCCCTATCTCCCTCAACCGTCCTATCCTCGACCCACTGTCCTATTTCCCATCCCCTTCGACCTATTTATCCTCGTCTCACTGCCATATCTCCCTCAACTTTTCTTTCCTCTATCCACTGCACTATCTGCCTCAAATTTTCCACCCTCGACCCACTTTCCGACCTCCATCAACTTACTTATCTTCGACCTACGACACTATACAACTCAGCCCCTAACCTAACGGCGCTACAATAATTTTTTTTTTTTTTTTTTCTAAACTTTACTTCTTCTCATTTTTATCGGATCAGAGTACGGATGTGAAATCGGATCAGTATTATACCAATACGTCATGTCCGAGTTGTAACGGTAATTCGCTTCATAAACATATCGCTGCATATGCAGCAATCATACGTATGTCAGGGGGTTGTGAACATAGCATAATTTTTTTTTTTTTTTTTTTTTTTTTTTTTTTTTTTTTTTTTTTTTAAACATAGCATAATTGCCGCCCCCGAAGCTTCCGTTTCATCATTTCCGACGGGGCGGTAGATGGTATTGACTTATCTAAGCTACCATTTATGGGTAGCGGGGTATGACCTTGGGTTAATGTTACGTATATTAGCCTCGCTCATATCCGTTTAGGATTATCTTCCAGTTTGGGACTATTCCTAACAACCGAGCATCTCCGTATTTATTTTCTATAGTGCTCAGGAATTCTTTGTACATTTTGATTGTGGCTGTTGTTATGCCAATATCAAAGGGGGCAATATATCGGTTTTCGATATCTAATTTTATTTTCAGTTTCATTGTTTCCCGTTTCATAATAGCGAAGAGTTTGTTTGTCGCTATAAGTTGTAGTCCCGAGTGGCTATTATAGTAAATATTTTTGTTTGTAGTTTTTATCTTTTGCTGGCTGATTGCGTTCAAACAAGTTTGTAAATATTGGATGTGCTCGGTTATTTTTGAGCAGTGGAGGAAAATATGTTCAGTAGAGTCCGAATTCGCTTTACAAAATTTACAATTTAGGATCCTAATTTTTCCGAATTGATCATGGCGGAGTGAGGTGCCTTTGCGACGGTTTCCGAAAAAGTATCCATTTTGGACTATTCTGTAGCTACAGACTCTTTCTGCATTGGATATGTAGTTTTTAAGGTAGCGCTGTTTTGAATTTACTTCTTCCCAATTCATTTCCGTTTTTGTTAGGTCTTGCTTTTTAAGAATCTGATATATATCCCTGTGCTTCATAGTTTTCCAATCATTTAATGTTTGATCAATTTGTTTAAATAGGATTACAAGCGTTTTCCAGTGCCATGGTATGACAAAGCTGTGCGGCATAGAATTTGTATATGCTTCCGGATTTATTATGCGTATCTGTGATCCGATAGAGTAGAGAGCCTCGAAATGTCAGAACTGGCTAGGTGTCTCCATTTTCACAAGTTCCCGCATTTTTTCCACTTGGCATGCGTTGATTCTTGCTTTGACGTCTATGGTGTTAAAACCCCCGACCTTTTTTCCTCGTTGTAGAGTTGTCCTAGTGATTGCTTCAATTTTTTCTGGGTGCCAAAAGAACTTATAGATTAGACGCTGTATTTGTTGTATTTTACTTGGTGGGACTTCAATAACGCGAGCATGGAAAATTATTAATGATACTAGCAGGGCATTTATTACGTTGAGTTTGCCATACCACGTGAGATGTCGTGATTTGACAAAATTCAGGGTTTTGGTGAGTTTGATGATGCTATCATTCCAGGTTTTCCGTACTTGGTCTATTCCGAAGTAAACGCCTAGGATTTTTACGGTGTCCTTCATATATATTCTGTATGGTGAATTGAGAAGTTTTTGTCTCGCGTCCCTAGTTATACATAAAATTTCGGTTTATTCATGTTAATGTTTGTCCCGTGGCCAATTCAAAATGATTTAGTTCCTCAAAAATAGCGGGAATTGAAGATGGTTTCTGCACTGCAAAGGTAATGTCGTCCGCGTATTGATCTAGTTTGTGTTCATACATTCCTAATCTGATACCGCATATCTGTTGGTTATGTTTAATCGCTCTGGCAAGCGGTTCCGAGTTTATGGTATACAGGATCATGCTGAGCGGGCACCCTTGCCTTATTCCTCTGTGGATTTGGATTTCCTTACTAGGTTTCCCATTTACGTCTACTATACTTTTGATATTTGAATAGATATTTTTATTAGTTTGAGGGTTCTTTTTCTAAGCTCTACTTTTTCCAATACTTTGATGAGAAACCGATGGTTTACTCGGTCAAAGGCCTGAGGTTATCTATCATGATTAAGGTTCCAGGAATGTTTTTTTGGTACAGTATCTCACTATAGAGTTTATGTTAAAATGTACATCTGTCATATTTCTGTTAGGTAGTGTACTTTTTTGGGAGGGGCTAATTATTCTACTAAAAACTAGTTCGAGTATTTTTGTTAAAATTTTTGTTACTATTTTATAGGTCCATATTCAAATTAGAGATAGGGCGCCAATTTTTCAAGTCTGTTTCTTTTCCTTTCTATGTATAGGAGTTTAACTCTGGATAGAAGAAGATGATTTAGGGAGTTGTCCAAATGTGAAGATGTTGTTTACCAGTTGCGTGAATTGTTTTTTGATTATTGCCAAAACGTCAAATAAAATTCTTTACTAAAAACCATCTGGTCCAGGGGATTTGTTGTCACTCATGGATTTGATTGTGTTAAGGATTTCCCTATTCTCCCAGATTAGCCTCTAAATTATTGTTTTCCGCTTCATCTATTTGGGT